AACCTCACTCGGTTTCCCTCCCTCGCAGCCCACTGCTCACCTTCCCTCCCCCCCCGCCTCCAAATCCATCCACACCTCGGGCCGCGCCGTCGGTCCGTACCGATCCCTCAAGTCCTTGGAGGAAGACCTGCAGGCATTTCAACGCTTTCGCGCCGAATTGGCCTCAGCCCCGTCCTCGTCCCTGACCTCACTCAGCTCCTCCTCCTCCTCCCACTCCTCCGCCATCGCGGCCGGCGCACTTCCAGGGTGCGCGTCGCCTTCGACGGCGCTTCCTGTGGCTAGGGGGGGGGAGGAAGGAGGAGGAGAAGGGGGGGGAAGGGGCACGGGCTGTGGGGGGCGTCGGGGCATGTGAGACGGGTTTAGGGGGAAGGATAAGGGGCAGAGTGTAGGCGCTGTGGAAGTGTGTGGAGAAAGCGGGGAAAAACGACACTCTCGCCGCCTCGGAGACTCGTCGCGCGTGTATATAGATAGGTAGCGACACGTGTACAGAGGAAGAAGGGACAGAGGAAGGAGGGACAAAAGATTCGCGGTCGAACGGACGGCTTGCGTCTCGTATTGATCCGTGCGCTGCAATTTAAAGCTTGTCGAAGGTGGTTGTACAGCGCGCGTCTGGCAGCCTAGAGGCGGTGCCCGCCTAAAGCCGCAAATGTGTGTACGCAAGGAAGGAGTTTAGGCGCTTGGAACCTGATATGGGACGGTTGCGTATGTTTGGTAGTGGTTTTAAATGTATGCTCACGCAGTAGAGGAGGCTGATACACCTTTGTCGTCATCGAAAGATGGACAAGGTTGCCGCTGAAGCGGTGAGAATCTCATAACGAGGAATTGAAAAACGATAACTTTGGCTTTACACCGATTGTGAGAACACAGAATTGTGTGTTTCAATAAAGTCTATCGATAGAAAGTAGTGTCACATCCATGTAACCGGCTTATTGATCATACTTTTTTGTTCACTCCCTGACCTTGCTTTGTCCTTCGCCTTGGCGCTACAGAGGTATCGCAGGTACTCACTTTCTTTTACTGGAGTTCAATTTCAGTTCGTAGCGCAAGATCCTTTCCCATGCACCCTTTTCCGTTCCTTTGCTGCTCTAGATATGGACCACGCCGTCGCCACGCGTAGAAATGCCTCCATTTTTAATGCTTTTCGACCCTTCGCTCGTGTCCTACCAAGCCCCATCCGTACCCATCGAAAACCACCACCAAATACCCACCATAGCCATACAATTCTAGTGCGTGAGTATCATGGAACAATTAATGCGCTTCCCTCTGCGCATGGAAGGCAAGCGACACTTGTTTCCTTCGCTCCTATTTTCCACGCTGGCGGAAAGAGGGGGGGGAGGTTAAAGACGACGTAAGCCGGAAAAAGATATGTTTGAAATTTTGGTTTCGGAACAGTGGAAGTGTTGCCATCATTTCTGTTCCTGATTTCTGCCAAGATGCATGCGTTGCTTTCGCTGGACAATCACTCACGTTTGGTTCACGTTGTGCGTTGCGTCGATTGATACCTCCGTTTCATGACATCTTGGGGGCAAATTTCTCGTTTGCTTCTCGCCCAGACAAGGGAAGGGTCGAGTTGAACCTCTTTCCCTGGCTGGTCACTTGTTGTCTTGTTCAGAATATTCTACTTCGTGACCGGTCACATGGATCAAATCACACTCATGCTGGAAAACCATGCTGTTAGCCATATATAACGCGACCTTGTACCCATTTTTGGCGTATATGGTTATATTTGGTGTGTGTGTCCTTGTCGACCGACGCGAATCGTACGCTTGGCTCCTGCACCTCCTTCGAAGCAAGGGTGCACATCCTTTTCTGAGCCCACTATTGAATGGACTTTTCTGTTTTTTCTGTTTCTTATCTTTATCTTCTTGGTTTTGCGTAAGGAATGCTTTGTGCTGATGGTGGCGTCTTTTGATCGCGATGCGCAAATTTTGGTCTCATTACTGTTACTATCCGACCGTACAGATTATCACCGAGCGCTTTCTGGATGAAGTGCGTATTTTCGACTTCCACCTTCCTTTTAAGCTGCACACTCCTTGTCGTATCTCCTCGCTTCAATGATGCTTCCCTCCGTGGTGAGATGTCCCCGAGGGAGCTTGCGACGGTCGTGGACCTCCCCAGTATATCGGTCAATGTGAACGAGGATGGAGGCGTCTCGGTGTCGACGCCCTGGGGTTCAGTGAATACGGATGGAAACGGTACCAGCGTTCATGGTTTCACTCCCACGAGCATTGGCAACGTGACGTGTGCGAATTTGGGTCCTTGGGATACGGCCGCGGAACCGACGTGCGAGACAGCCTTGCCAGCTTTCTACGAGTCGACCACCACCTTCGCCGGGACTTCGAAACCGAAAATCCGGAAAATTACTATGGACACATTCTGCACCACACCCTGCGGCGACACCTGGACCCGGGCCGTTTTTGCCCACAGCTTGCGGTGTTCCCCTGGCGTAGGAGGGAACGGCTCGGCGGCCGGAGGAGTGGTTGTCGACGTACCGGGAGCCGCGGTATCCACAGGACCGGGCGGAAGTGTGGATGTACAGGCCCCTGGTACGACCGTGACAAGAGATCCGGGCACGGGCGCCGTCCAGGTGGAGTTCCCGGGGGGAAGGGTGCACGCGGGGAATGGGAGCGTTGCGGTTGCGTCGGCGGCCTCCCCCGCCCAGACAGCACGCACGCCGGCCGCCACGACCTCAGGAGGGCCCACCTTCCCCGTGGATTACCCGGGCCTGCGCCTGGGTTGCATCAAGGACCCCAAGGACGAGGAGTTTTGCGCGGTGAAACGGGCGGCAGTGCCGGGGGTAGGGGGAGACGCGGAGGACGGAGGCCCTGCTTGCGATTTTTATCTCTCCTGCTGCTACGCCCAGTATGTGCAAACCTTTGGCAGCGTGCCAACTGAATTTGTGGAGGAGGTAGAGGCGGCTTGCCCGGGTTCGACGGCGTTTTTGCAAGGCAGTGTCTGTACGGCGTAGGAGGGGGGAGTAAAGCGGGAATAAGGATACTTTGGGGGGTACGGATGCTTCAGGTAGTATGGTCTTAAGGGAGGCAACGGGGTGCTGTGGCCTACCGAGCACTAGAGGAAGGGACGACGGGACTTGAAAGTAAGAAAATAAGGGCGGACGATAGAAAATATGCGTCGTGTCGATATTGCGTGTCGATACCGCCTAAGAGTGGAGACTACAGGCACGGGGCGTGGGGCGGGAGACACGGAAGACAGTGGACCGAAAGACCGGTGACAGGGAAAAATAGGGAAAGAATAGTGTCGCATGATGGAGGCAGGAAGCGTCAGCAATCAAAAAAATGTCACGTATCCACATGCTGCGCCGTGTGAACCTGGTCTCTTTGTGCTGTCCAAACGCTTCCAACGGCGGACAGCTTGCAAATCTCAAATGCTTCCACCGATGGACAGCTTGAAAGATGTCCCTATCGTCATGCAGACTTTGTCGTCAATGACAAGTGGAGATCAAGGTGTGCATAAGGAGAAGTTTGGGAGTCTAGAGGCCCAGACACTGGATGAGTGAAGACGATGGTGACACCAGCTGATTTTGTGCACATTTTTAAATCTTGAAAGAAACATTTTGATGGGAGACAACTGGCAAAGAGGCTTCTTTATCCCCTGTCCTCGTCCGAAAATTGACAGGGGTCTTTTTTCATGCGTGGTCACTGTACCCCCTCCCCACTGTGTCTCTACTTATACACGCCCATGACCGTCGAAGAGACTCACGAGACCAAGTTTACCCGCCAAAGAGGAGTTCAATGACGACTGTGACGATGTTGAGGGCGATCAGGGGCACTGGGAGGCAATGTACCGGAGTAGGATATAAAAGGTTGGTGAGGCCACAAGATTATGTGACCATCTTGCCTTAAAGCTAGGCCCTTCTCATCGAAACTACACAAGCTGCGTACCTTTCAGATATTGGACGGCATTCAGCAGACCAACCACTTGGTTTCTAATGGACGTGGTGTCGGCTACCTCGGCCACGTCCAAGCCATCTAGGAATAGGGAAAGGGAATGGCAAGAAATACAAATAAACGGGAAAATAAATGGGTACGAACGCAGAAAGGACCCATGAGAAGAAGTGCTTTTGATCATAGCTAGACTATCATGAGTGATGTGACCCAGTTCAGTTGTATGTGATCAGATCTTAGCACTTGCGAAAAAGTCAAAAAAAACTCTAGTGGTTCCGAAGAGGCCCTTCGTGCATGCATCTGCCACACTCACATTTCCGCAAAAAGCGCTTTCGATGCAAAACAGCCACCCCATTCGTAAAGAGTAAGCCTGATTTATAAAGGCTCCAAATTGTAAAGGCCATCAGCCGTGGAGGCGCGTCTGTCCAGAAGTCGGGGCGTAGAGTAGTATATAAGGAGGTCGAGAGGAAGCAAGGCCAAAACGAATCCAAGGACAGCAATCCTTTGTCTCAAAAAAACTTGTGGCCGGAGCACGTCAAAGACAATGCCAGTTGGTTTCCTGCCGTGTGTGGGTGTAAGGTGTGGGCACGTGAGACATGCTTATGAGGAATATTATCGCTCGATGCCAGAAAGCGACGCAGGCGTTGCTCCCTCCGCGCCTGGTTCCTTCCATCGGGAGTCGGCCAATCCACACTCATAAAGACGACCTAGACGTCAAATGATTCACCATGACTACTACACAAAGCGCATAGGGTGCAGTGTTGTTCATAATGGAGGAATAACCAGGTTTCTATGCACGTTTGTGTCATACATACATGCAAAGCGTTCTCACCACCCAGTCAACCTTGCCTCCCCACCCCATGTAGTAGACAAAGACACTTACTTGTTCAGCACTCCAAGTCAGCCTAATGACCTACGCCATGCAATACGACGAGCTCTCTGTGGCCCTTGGGTATGCTCTTTTCGGCACCGCTGGTGCTCCAGCCGGCAAGGCAGCTCCTGCTGCGAGTAAGTGTTGCCGAAGGGCGAAAATCACGGGGTGGGAGAGATGTGTGAGGCTCCGGAAACGCAACCACAAAGCTTTCGTCATGCAGTGTCTGCTACGTAATTGGGCAAAAACATGTCAGGAATGTTCGGGTCTGCCATGAAGGGCCACGACAACAATTGACGGCTGACAAATCACGGGCATTTTTCTTTCACACTTCTCATCTCTCCCACGCCATTCCTACACACGATTCCTGCATTGTGTAACGTCAATATGTCATTAGAGTCCACAAAAAAACCAGCTGCGGTAAGTTTATCGGATAGTATACGTTGTGTGAATAATGAATGGCAGACTTCGTCATGCCGTCGTAGGTTCCCCCCGTTGGCCATCTTGTTCTCTTTCGTCTGCCCCCCCCTTGTCGTAGGTGCCCTTAGTGGCCGAGCCTCTTTTCGTCTCACATCTCATTTTCCATCGTTTTTGTCTTGTTTCGGAACGTACCACGCACGACAGGAGGACGATGACATGGATCTCTTCGGGGACGATGAGGTATGGTTTGTTATAACGGGAACACTTCTGTCCCCCTTTCATGGCCTCCCGCAGGATTCTGTCATCTGTAAAATGATGTCTCCTCAATAGTGGTCTGTGCGTGTGACTTCGCCGTTGGGAAGATGCCAGGAGATTTTGGGGGGTACAGCAGTAGACTTTCGTGTGCTCAATTCCTGCCTCCCCGGTGGCGTCTCTTTCTTTTCTTTTCCCAGTTGAGACCAGCATATCCATCCTGTACAATGTCGCTATTCTGCTCTGATCGTCTGCGTCCACGCGCCTTTCTCCTCCTATCTTCACCGGCGTGGCGGCCCCTCTCTCATCCTGTCAACCCCACCTGTTATCTCCCTCCCCTCTTCCAACCCTACTTGCCTGCTAACCCCGATCCCCCCTTTTTTGGTTCTTTTCCTAACAGGATGAGACCCCCAAGGCAACGATGTCGCGCGCCGAGCAGGTGGCGGCCATGAAGGCAGAGAAGGAGGCCAAGGAGAAAGCGAACAAGAAACGGGATCGGTCCCAGATCGTTTTGGAGGTAAAACCCACGGACACAGACGTGGACCTGGATGCGCTATACAAGACCATCAAGAAGGAGGTCTGCCCCCCCGGCTTGACCTGGGGGGAGGGTTACAACAAGGCGCCCGTCGCCTTTGGAATTTTCAAGTTGATCATCTCCCTTGTCGTCTTCGACGACGAAGTCTCTATCGATGACGTGGTGGACAAAATCGAGGCCATGGAGGACAGTGTGCAGTCCGTGGACATCAACTCTTTTAACAAACTCTAAAACCGGAAGCGGTGTAGAATGATGGGTGATGGTGCCAGCGACTTCTTTTTAATGGTGGGGGAAACTCATTATCTCGGAGCCGAGGGCAGCGCCACGCGTTTGGGAGAGAGTGTCTGCAATAGGATGAGAACCTTTTGCTTGTCTCGTCACAAGAAGAAGGAAACGCCATTTGAATCAAGTTGCTTGTTTTGGAGGGCGCTTTACCCACCGATATACTCGTAGAGAGGTGTTTTTTCCCCTTTTTGCAGGGCATACCCCGAGTTCTAAATAACAAAACTCGGATGAATTAAGAATCCTTGAAGTGCTTGTTCAAAGCAGCAATTTGAAACTATGCCCAATTATCATGTGCATGGATATCTTATGGTACTTATTTCCTGAACACTATTTTATCTGAGCCTGTTTGGCAGCGTAGGCGGGCGACTCGAAAGACAGATTTCAAATCAAATTCTTTGCAACAACAAAAACTCTTCCTTTAAATGTTGTGCATGCCAATATGGAAACCATCCATATATTTTTTCCCCCTCCTTGTGCGCTGGTACCACACATGATAAGCGTAGCAACGCATTTCGGCGGGTTTTTGAAAGTTGTTCGTTACTTCGCTAGCGATGCAATTGAGATGCCCTTACTCCAAGCTCCAAGCTATGCGTGGAAATGGCTCTAAACTTCTTTGGAAAATAAAAACGGGACCGTTTTATGTGACGATGCCGTGACTCCTCTCGGTTTGTTCCCTTTTTCGCGCTTGTGGCAACGGCCGGGGCTTTTGTCAGCAGCCAGGAGGTTTCGTGTCCGTACATCCCGTTCTGTCCGTATAACGCTTCAATCACACATGGCATTGACGGGTCGAATGTTCGAATCCGACAAATCTATGTTTCGATTGCCTTTGTGCATGAGGCGTTGTCACTGTCCACGGTCATTATTGAATCTAGTGAAACGCGTTACTACCCATCACCCCTCCTCATGTCAGTTATGTAAAAATTCCGTCTCTATGTCAACAGAATGCCGCCATTACGCCGCTTTTGGCAACCCACACTACCATTGCTGTACCTATTATTCGGGAAAGTCGCAGCCCTTCCCGCAGAGACGCATCCATTTCCCGCCAATCTTCGCCGTGAAGTCTCGGCCTCCGGGGAGGACTCACTTCGCACGCATTTTGAAGACTCTATCCCGCGTGCTCTGCTTGGAATTAATTACGGTGTTGGTTTAGCCAAGAATCCCTTACCTTTCGGTCAAGCATTTGCGCTGCTGCGCGATATAGGTGTGAATAAACTCAAGCTTTTTGACCACGACATGGCGACGCTAGAGGTCATATCCTCAACGATCCCGAATGCCGCTGTCACAATCGGTTTTTCGACGGAGGAGATGCTGTCCCTCGCTGACCATCCCTCCCTTGCCTTTGAAGCCCTCCAACCCCTGCAAGTGTACGACTCTCTCATTCAATATATCGCTCTGGCCAGCGAACCCAACGAAAGTCTACCTCCCTCCACCCTATCTCGCGCTCTCCCACGTGCCTTGACGCAGGTCAACAGCGCCTTGGACAACCTCGATATGCGTGCCAAAGTGACTGTGCCCTTCACCATGGCGCTTCTGCACCCTCTGCATACCCCCGCCCTTTTCCTTGAAGCTTGGAACGAAACCCTTTCCCTCATCCTCCCCATCTTCCACGAGAGAAAGGCTCCTTTCATGATGAATATTCACCCGTACCCCGCTTACGTGGAGGCTCTCGCCGAGCCTGGTTCTGACCCAAGCGCAGGAGAAGGCATTCCCTTGGCCTACGCCTTGGGCTCTGCAGGGGAGCTCCGAAATGGGAGCTGGTTGGAGGCAGAGTACAAGCGGGTCCGGGAGGCTCTGACCGGATGGGGGTATCCTAGCATGCGGGTTGTGATCGGGGAGACGGGGTGGCCGACGGCTGGGGGCGAGGCGGCAACAGTGGAGAATGCATGCACGTACGTGAACGGGCTGGTCTCATGGGTAGGTCTGGGGGTGGAAGAGGGGGAGGCGGGGAGGGAAGTGTACGTGTTCGAGGCTTTCGACGAGGAATTGAAGCCAGCGGAAGGCATCGAGCCGCACTGGGGTTTAATGACGGAGAGGGGGGTGTCCAAATTTAGGGTGCAATGGCAAGGCCAGGGTGAAAGGTCATCACTTTAATCGGGACCCGAAACGGGCCTCTGAGGATGGGGGGGGATGGAAGACATGGCAGCATTTGCCGGTGTCAGAATGTAAAAGCACAACTGTGTCAACGGCATTCAATCTTTAGAAACTTGTACATACATTGGGGTGGAACGCTTCGCTCGTTGAGGGACAATGGGAGGTGGGGGATGACGATATGAAAAGAAAGATAATACCCGGAGAATCACTGATCACAGATCCTCGTCTCACAAGTTTTTCCAGAAACTCAGCTATGTTTTAAAGTATTTTACATACCAGTTGCGTGGACAGCAGTATTCTACAGGTCAGGCCCCTTCCTCGCCCACGCTCGTCCTCCGGCTTCTCAATTTTTTCCGAACGACCGACAAAGTCCGCGGTCGTACGGCTTGGCATGTCCTCCACCGTCAGCCCCCTCCACTCCTTGCTCCTTCTTCAGAGCCCCCTTTCGGCTTCAATCGCCACCCTTGCATTTTCTGGTAGCATGTCTCCACAAATGCGTACGCCCGGGCAGGCATTGTTCCAGCCAAAAGATGCTCCTTGGCTTCCCGATACGCGTCGTCCACCGTGGTCCAATCCTTTCGGCTGGCCGCCGCGCCCATCAAAGCCGTGTAAAGGTGGCTGGAGCGAGCGGTAAGGGGCACCCATGCCGCTATGTCCTCGAGCACCTGGCGGTACAGCAGCTGGTCTCGATCTTCGTAATTCATATTGCCCTCCCCAACCCCGCTTCCTTCCTCGTTCTTTTCCTTCCCCCCCTTCCCCTCACGGCCCGCTTGCTGCACCCACCGGAGCAAGGCCGTCATCGTGTACACGTCTGGGCGATCTTTTTGGCCCATATCGGGCTCCCCGGGCGTGGATGATGGGGATGGGAGGCAATGGGTACGCAAAGCATCATACACGGCTCGGACGCGGCGTCGTTCCCTCTCGGAGACCCGCCGAGTCCGGGACGCGCGTCGGACATAGGCGTGGAGCAAAGTGTTGTAGGAAAGGAGGGTGGGGAGGAGGCCGTGCTGGAGGACTTGACCGAGGACCCGCTCGGCCCCCAGGGTGTCCCCTTGCTTGGCGTGCAAGTGGAGGAGGAGGTTGAAGGCGGGCAGGGAGGGGGCGGGGGCAGGGGAGGGCATCCGTTGGATGACCGCCCTGGCCGTCACGTCGTCGTTGGTCAAAACACAGGCCCGGAGTACCTTCAGGTAAGGCTCTTCCTCGGTGAGGAGGGAGGGACGGAGGGCTTCTTGTCGGGCGAGGAGCTCGGCGAAAAGGCGTTGGACGTCGGGGGGGGGGGGGCGAGGACCTTGAGGGGGGGGTCTGGTGGGAGGGTGCGTGCAGAGGGGGACAAAGGAGATGACGCCTGGAGCGGAGAGGACGGAGCGGCGACTCGGCGTGCGGAGGCAGTAGCGGTGGAAGGAGGGGAGGAAGGGAGGGAGGGGGGGAGGGGGCGAGTTGGACGGGCGATGGTTGCCTCCCTGTGTGAAGGTTCGAGGGACGCGGCGCGTGCTTCAAGGCCGCAGCCAGACGTCGCAGCAGGGCCTCCGGAGACCCTCCGCTTCCCTCTGTCCCTACATCCCTGTCCATGGCAACCCCCTCTTTCCCGCCATAATTCCGCCGCCCCCCGCCTGAGGACAGGGTGGGAGGAAAACCTCCCCCAGGCTTGTTCGTGATCACTGGATTCCTCGGCAGCCGCTGCTTCCTCCGATGCTGGGCGCCCTGTGCCCGCGCTGTCTCCAGCAGGGCCCGCGTCGTCTGGTCTGGTCGAAGGCCTTGGGCTTCCATTCGCTTCAAGACCTGATCGAATCCCCCTGTTCCCTCCCTCCCTCCCTCCCTCCCTCCCCTGTCCTCTTGCCCTCCCCCCTCCCTCCCCGCGCATCCCATCCTCCTCTTAACCTGGCCGCATCGGGCCCTTTGCTCCGCACATAGACACGCAGCAACGCATTGAAAATGACCAGGTCAGGCACCACCTCCCCGCCTTCCCGCCCGCCCACCTTCCCCCCCTCCACCGCCAAGAGCACCCGGCGCATGACATCCTCCGCCCCCGCCACGTCCCCCACGTTGGCGTAGGCCCGGAGGAGCATCGTGTAGGCGTGGACGTCGGGGGCCACACCGGCGGCCGCCATCCGAAAGAGGACGTCCTCGGCGCCCTCCGGGTCCCGTGAGACGGCATAGGCCTTCATCAAGGACGTGTACGCCCGGACCGACGGGACCAAGCCGCCCTCCTCCCTCATGGTCCCGAAGACCTCCTCCGCCTTGCCCACGTTGCCCCGACTGGCGTGTAAATTCAACAGCATCGAGTACGGGACGATATCCGGCAAGAGCCCCAGCGTTTTCATCCGGGCCAGCACGGCTTCGGCGCCAGGGGCATCGCGTCGAACGATGTGAGCTTGCATGTAGTGGGTGAGGGTGAGGAGGTCCAGGGGCACGTGGTCTAGCTCTAGGCGGGCGATTAGGGCACCGGCCTCTTCTACGTTGCCATTCACCGCCGCTTTGCGAAGGGATTGGAGGACGGGGGCGTGCAAAAGGCCCAGGCGCTCGAAATCAATCGAACAAGAGCGGTTGGTCGCGGTGTTGGTCGCAGGGGACGTGGAGGAAGGAGCCATTGTTTGGTGTATGGGTCCGGTTGTGAAGAAAAGTCGTCTTCTTGGTCTCCTGTTCCTTGATATCCATGTCGGGTGGTGGCCTCTTTTGCTGTCAGAAAGACGGGAAGTGCTCGACAAGGAGGAGGACAGGGAGGCAAGGGGCAGGTGATGGGGAGGAGATGAAGGAAATGGGCGGAGAAAAAGGGCAAATGCCCGGGCGGAGTCAGCAGTTATCAAGCTGCTCATAACCATTAAGAGTAAATTCAAACATATTGATGGCTTCAAACGGGACGCAGGCTGTGAATTGCCGGCCATGTGAACACGGTGCCTCAGCTTCCTGCGACCGGGATTGGACGCAGCAAAAGGGACGCGCCCCGTCCACGCTCCCGGGGAAAGCGATACAAATCCTGCAGCGCTCCAATGTAACAACACCTGTCAATGCGTGGTAGACGCGATGCGTGATTTTTGTTTGCTGGCGTCGGGCTTTCTGATGCAGGCTGGGAGTCGAAGCGAGTTCGAGGTATCGCTGTGATATCCCTGCCTTCGGTATCATGTTTCGCTGAAAAAGTCAAAAAGTCAGGGTGCCATGCGGCACTATAAGGTATGATGTAAGCTTACGAGAACTATGAAAGCACGCGAAGCTTGACGTGGTCCCTCTCTTCTACCG